CTCCCACCTGCCCTTCCAGGCTGGTCCTGCTGCTGAGCTTACGGGGTGGGAGCGAGGGGAGCCTGGATTTGGCCAGAGGCAGAGAGTGGGTGTCTCCGTTGCATCCTGGCCCCTCTTCCAGCCCCATCCCTGTCCTGATGAAGGATGCCGTTGTGCCTGTCCCTGCGGGAGTGCCAGTGCCTTATCTCCGTGTGCCCCTCACCTGGACTCCACTTGAACTCTGGTGCCTTCTTCTTCAAGCATTTGGTTATGAAAAGATGTATTTTCCTGGACCTCTTCTAATAAATTGGTGGAGAAAGCCCTGGAGCGACGTGGCTGTGTCCCCATCTCTGTCCCAGCACAAGAGAGAGGTCTGCCATGGAGAGAGGATTTGGGGATCCCTGGCTGGATGGCCGGGACTGTCTCGTCCTTGGCTGAGCATCATCTCATCACCACTGGTTCAGCCCTGCTCCTGCCTGAGCTCCTGCAAGGGTCCCCATGCTCCCTCATTAATGAATATTAATCTCCTGATTAATATTTAATAATTAATCTCCCTGAGTCTCTGGACTGAAAGCTGGAGGGTGAAGCAGTTCCTGCTGGCGATGGGTTTTAGATGGGTTTTAGGCATGTGGGTTAGCCCCCTCCTGGGGTGAGAGCTGAACAGAGCAGTGATGTCCTACCACAGGGTCCTTCTTCAGCTGGGGCTTGGGACAACCCCCCTCCCCTCAACACCTCCGTTGTCCCCAGGGCTGCACACTTGGGTGCTGGCTGGGGCTGAGCACCCTGTTGGGGTTCCCCTTCCTTCCCTGCTGTCTTGCCATGGGAGACCACCCCCTCACCCCGCACCCACACAGAGGCTCCCCTTCCCCACAAAAACAACACCGACAAAGCGCCCATTCCGATTTCACTCTCTTTATTATTTATCAGTCTTTCAAAATAGGATATGTTCAAAAATATAAATAGGTGCAGGGAACGCTGGTGCCCCGCACGGTCCCCTGGAAAGAGCACGTTGTCCTGGGACGGGCGCTGCGCTGCACGGGGGGCAGTGGGGAAGCAGAGAGGGGCCACAGCCCCCGGCGCCCGCATCCCGGGTCTCAGCATCCCCTTGCCTCCCTCCTCCCGCAGCTCCTTCCACCGCAGCCCCCCCGGCCCTCCCACCCGCCCCGACGCGCTGCAGTAGTAGGAGGATTCTGGAAAAAAAAAAAAAAATAAAACCCCAAAAGGTGCTGTTCACCCTGGAGATTAAATAACAGAAATAATTACATTGTTCGTGGATAAAATCAGGAAAAAATAATCATCTTTATTATTTAACTTAACCCTCTGCCCTCTGCAAACCCACCCCCCTCCCTGTCCCCGAAGGCACGAAGATAATTGGAACCGGACGGTTAGTAAAAATGCTGAGTTCTAATTCGCTTTGCTTTGGTGCTTGGAAAAACATTAATTTTTTTTTTTTTTTATATATATACACAAAGCAGGGTTTGTCTTTAATATAATTTTTTTTTTCCTTATATGACAAAAAAGCAACAACAAGAAGAAGAAATTGACTCTGTTAATATAACTGTTCTGTTAAAAATCTCTCTTTCTCGCTTTCCCCCTGGGTCTCTCTCACCCCACTCTAATGGGTGGGTCTGTGCACGGCTCTGCCGCTGGGTCTCGACTGGCTCCTGGGGCTCCTCTTGTATAGCCTGCGCTGGTAGTTGGAGGCTGTGGAAGAGGGAGGAGAAGAAAAGGCACCTTGTTAGCAGGAGCCAGGACAGAGATGCTGCTTGTCCCGCGCTGGCCGCCCTGGCCCCTGCCTCCCTGGAAAAACATGGGCAGCCGCAGGCAGCGCTGCCCAGTGGGCGGCTGTGTGTGCCCCGGCGCCAGTCTGCCTGCCCGTGCACAATCAGCCCTTCTCTCTTGGGGTTTGCTTCACCCAGGGGTGAAGGTGCCTACCAGGAGCCTGGGGAGGAGCATCCTCTCCACGGATGCTTGTCCCATCCCTTCCCTGTGCCCAGCTGGGAGGGCTGCTCTGCTAATGGGGTGGGCATGGGGACCGCTTCCCCATCTTCCCCGCTGTCCTGCCAGTCCTGCTCCAAACCCCTGGGACAGGGAGGGAAATACCTATCAGGGGTGGGATGTGCTCAGGGCACAGGAGGGGAAACAGCCCCATCTGGCTGGCAGGGACAAGGTTTATGTCTGATCGTTGCTGCCAGTCTCCCTGGAAGCTGGCACGGCTCCCGTGTGGTATTTCCAGGAGGGTTTTCATGGAAGAGGCAAAAGCTAGTTGGGAAGAGCCCAGGTCTCTTGATCGCTTGTGGTCCATGCCAGGAGCAGACTGCAGCTCTTTGGGTCCGTGGCAGAGGCAAGAGAGTCAGTGGCTTGGTCTACACCATGTGGACACCTCCTCCATCCCTCCTCCTCCCATCTCCTCCCTGGGGTGGAGGTTTGTCCCTTAAGTCCGCATCAACTTTCCCTGGCTGTGGGACCGTTGCTTTAGCTGGAATTGCCCAGCTGGACTAGAACCTGGCAAGGACGCCACTGGACAGATGAGATTTGGCCGAGGCCGATGAAATTATTGGGAAGCCGCAGGCGAGCAGGGATGGGACAGGGGTGTAGGCAGGCCTGGGAGTGGGCTGGGACACCAGTGGGAGAGGGCTGGCTGCCATCAGCTGGAGGCCTGACAGGAGAAGGGTCAGGATCCCAGCCGTGTCCCTTGGCTTAGCTCTGCCGCAGGGATCCTATCCACTTCCATAGCAGGGGGATGCTGGAGAAGGGCTTGGGGGACCACAGCTGCCCCCTCCTATTCTCTCTGCTGATGCAGGTGGTGCCAAAACTCACCCTTTCAGAAACCATTACTTTTTCTTTCCTTTCTTCAAGTACCCTGGGCCCATGGTAAGCTCCTTGTTGCTCTTTCCTGGCTCTGGAGCTGCTCCTACCCTGCCTAGGTGGAGGAACCTCCAGGGCAGGAATTGCCTAGGCTGCCCCTCCGGCCAGCACCCATGGTCCACACCTGCCCAGAAGATGCCAGCTCCCATGGCCCCATCACAGCAGAGTTTTCAACAAGTCAAGGGGACCATGATGTCCCTTTCTGCCTGGCTTGGAGCTAACCTGCAGCCTAAGATGATGCCCCCCTCATTCCCAGCCACAGGGATGCATTAGCCTTAATCTGAAGGTAAAGGGGACAAGACGTACGGTTTATGCAGGATATCCGTGGCTCCTCCCACTGCCCATTGGGCTGGCACCGAATCGTGGGCACGTGGCGCTGGATGTAGCCTTGGTTGCACTGGTACCGCACCATGGAGTTTATTTCATAGCGGTCCTTCTTCCGACCGAAGGTCCTGGCGTTCTCCACCACCGGGGGGTCCCCACAGGCCACTGCAGGAGATGGGCAGAGACATGAAGAAATCGAGAAGTCCTGCCTAGCTGAGTGGGCAGCTCATGCCCAGGCAGCTCCTGCCTGCCCGGCGCAGGCTGGGCACGCACAGCCTCGTCCCTCCTCTTTTCCTGTGCATAAAACTTTAAATCCCTTTGAGATTGCCTCTGTCCACAAAATTTAGGGGCAGGAGGATACGAAAAATTCTGTGACAGGTCTTGAAATTAAGCAGTGTTCTGCCTCAGGGCTCTATTCCTGCTTCCTGGAGAGGCAGTGAGAACTGGGCACCACAGCAGCCACTTGCGTCCGTGGGAGGGCATGGAGTTGGTGTGTGGGAGTGATGCTGCAGCCAGGGTATGGCTCTGCTTGGGGACGTGAAACCCCATCCCTGATGGCTCATCTTATTTGTTTTCAAGCCCTCGGCAAACTTTCCCCTAGAGCTTTGGCCAATGTCTATTGCTAATTCCTTCCACCTCTTTGACCACCTTTTGCAGTGACAGAACCCACATTCATGTGCACTGGGGGCTCCACTACAGCCCCGCAGCCACTGCCTGAGCCCCCATCCTTGCCGGTGTGGTGCAGGGTTCTGACCTGTGCCTTTCTTGCAGGTGAAAGGGAGATGATAGTTGCAGGGAACATCGTTCCATTCGCCTTGCTCATGCCAGATCATCACAACGCAGTCCTCACCCGCCGCGAAGAAGTTATCGGGTTGGTTGGGCCGCCAGTTCTCAAATTGCTGCCAAGAGAGAAAACCCCTTTGCCTAAGGCTGAGCCCTCCCCTCTCCTACTCTCTTCTTCACCCTTGCAGGTGCCTTGCCCACACTTTTTACCAGCAAAGAGCATGGGTTCCCAGCACTGCTACTACAGCAGTTATGGTTCCCAGGAGCTTAGCTGACCACCTTTACTAGAGGCTTGGAAAACCCATGAGCCCTACAAAGTTTAGGGCTGCCTCCACTCAATGCCCAACCCAAGCACTCAGCACATAACTCATGGGGCTCTTCCCACCCAAGGGGAACCTCTTCCCCTCCCGCAAAAGCCAGTGCCTGCCCGTGCCGTGGGCTGCAGTCTCACCAGGGAGTGTCCGTCGGACCAGCGGAAGTCATTCTCCACAGCTCTGTCACTGAGGCCGATCCACTGGTAGTCCTGCGCATGGCCTGGAAAAGCCAGAGGGGCAGACAAGAGTGGGTCATGGTTCCCCTACACCTTGTTGGAAGTGTCTCTTTGCCATCTCAGCTGTCTGTGGCCCTGGAGCCTCTGGGTCATTTGGCTCCTTCCCAGTCACTAGCCCCTGATGTCCTTTTTTCCCCTGCATCGTGCTTGTCTGTTTCCCTCCCGACTCAACATGGAGCCACCCAAACTGGCATGGGTCACTGCGCTTTTTGCAGCATGTGAACATCTTTTGAACAAGCCACATCAGCAATGTGATAACAGTGAAGATCTAGCCTAGCTGAGAAAGGGCTCTCTTCTGTCTCACAGCTGGATGGTTCTTCCTCTCCCATCCAAGGGTGAGGCCTCATTAAGGAATATCTGAGCGCTAGTAGGGGAAGTTGTGTTTTTTTACATAATTATGGATAAATCTGACCATAGAATGAGAGTTGAATGGATGGACCCCTGCCCAGTCTCAGGCTGGCCTCAGCACTCACTGTTCACAAATTCTTGCTCCTCTGGGGTGATGATACTGCTCAGGTGGGCTTGATGTTGTCGGCATCTGGTCTCTGCATCCATCCAAGTCTCCCTTTCTTCAAAGTGCCTGTAGCAGTGGCCCTGGAACTTGGTCCAGCCTTCCTCACAGTTTTCCAGGTCTGAAACACACAAAGGAGGGATGAAAAGGAGTTGGTGCATGAGTCTTAAAGCCTTCCAACTCACCTCTTAGCAGCTCATGCTCTCATGGCATAGGACAACACATGGTCACGTCCACTAAAAAGCAAAACCTGACACTGTTGCCTGT